ATTTAAAATTCTATAACCTTCCTGTAAATACTATATTTTGAAGCCTTTCAATATTTAAAGTAGATATAAATAACTTATGATGTAAATAATTTTTATGTCTGGATAATACTTTATTAGGTATGAATATACCTTTGTCACATACTTTGATTATTTCCTTTTTGTTGCTCTGCAAACAAGGCTGCTGTAAACATTCTTATACATGTATCTTTTCTGCAGTTACTCTTAGGATGCATTTTGCTTGTGGAGTTACTTGGTCAGAGAACATATTTTAGGTTTGATATGTATTGATGAGACATGATTTTAAACATTCTGTGGTTGAAATTTATCAGTAAGTATAACTGCAGAACAAAGTTCTTAAGTGTTGTAGTAAGATTACTCTTTAGACATTCACAAGTGGATGTACCCATTATGATTTGTGTTTGGGGAAACAGATGTGTGTGTGGTCATGATTGTTAGGATGAACTATTAGGGTGAACGTTAAGTTTAGATCACTTTCCCTTTAACATGATCTCAAATATAATGAATAACTTTGAAAACCTAGATAAAAATGGAAACCATAAAAAAATACATTGGTTTAGCATTTCAAATCATGCTAAATGTATAAACTAAAATGTATAGACTTAGTTACTAATATTGTCTTATTAACTGAACCCTTTATTTTGCATACGTGTCCACTGATTAGCGTTCTACATATTTCTTCTTGTATATGTTATGTGCTGTTTGTGATGCATCCATAAAATACAGGTCTTTTTTTTTTTTTTTCAAGTTGTTTGAGAATTTAGACACTTTGAAGCCTGGGGGTAAAATTCTTCTGTAGGGCCCTCCTCCCCTAATCATTTTGTTTTACTTGCTAATACCTAATCTGGCAGCTGTGTTATTTTGGGGACTCATTTTTGTGGGGTCTTTCTGCTGCATATTCAGCTTTCATAGAAGCTGCTTTCATTCTTTTTTTTTCATTTAATGCAATACTTACTACATAACTACAATTGTAATTTTAACTAGTGTAAATTGATTGGAGAACAATAATTCTTGGCAAGAATACAACTGCTTTGGTGGGGACATAAGTGCTTGGATCTTCTAGAGAGTAGCCCTTTAGACATTCACTGGACACTTGGCATCAGAAAATGTCTTTCAGGGGAAATGAACAACATTTGTTAATTTGGAGGCTTAAGTGGACATAAGTTAAAAGATCATCTACTTTGTTGAAGTGGAAAATGTTCTTTACTGAAGGAAATGATCTGTTCTTATTTTTTAATTCTTGTTTTACAATTAAGGGTTGAATTAAACTGTGGGTGTTTCTTTGTTCCTCTCTTTGATCCTTTACATTAAAATCTGTATCTGAAGCACTTTGTGACAGGATTCTTTATGTGCTATATCTCATGTTTGCATTTGATACTCTTTGGTCATTGGCAGTTTCTAGTAGAATGCCTCCTTTTCATCTTAAATGTTCTCCTTGATAGATTTTTTTAAGTTTTTTTTAAACATTTATTTATTTTTGAGAGAGAGACACAGAGTGTGAGCGGGGAAGGGGCAGAGAGAGAGGAAGACACAGAATCTGAAAGACGCTCCAGGTTCTGAGCTATCAGCATAGAGCCCACCATGGGTGGCTGGAACTCTGGAACAGCAAGATCATGACCTGAGCCGAACAAAATCACACACTTAACCGACTGAGCCACTTGGGCGCCTCTCCTTGATAGATATTTAAAATAATGTGCTTCACTGCTAGGAATTTACCCAAGGAATATAGGAATGCTGAGGCATAGGAGCACATGTACCCCAGTGTTCATAGCAGCACTCTCAACAATGGCCAAAACATGGAAAGAGCCCAAGTGTCCATCAACGGACGAATGGATCAAGAAGATGTGGTTTATCTATATTATGGAATACTACATGGCAATGAGAAAGAATGAAATCTGGCCAAGTGTAGCAACATGGATGGACCTTGAGGGTGTTATGCTGAGTGAAATAAGTCAGGCAGAGAAGGACAAATACCATATGTTTGCACGTATAGGAGGATTAGGAGGAAGTTAACGGAGGACCGTGGGGGAGAAGAAGGGGGGAAATAGTGGGGGAGGGGGAGAGAGGCAAACCATGAGAGACTCTTGAATGCTGAGAACAAACTGAGGACTGATGGGTGTGGGGGGGGGGTAGGGGGGAGATGGCCATGGAGGAGGGCACTTGTGGGAATGAGCACTGGGTGTTATAAGGAAACCAACTTGACAATAAACTATTTGTTAAATAAATAAATAAAATAATGTGCTTCATAGCTTCATCATTAACCTAGCAAACTTATATTCTTTGCTGCTTCCCTCCCTCACTGAAGTATAGATTTTTGCTTATAGGACTACAAAACTGCACAGAAAATAACTACTGTGATTAGACTGAGTAAATATAATGTGGTGTACAATTTGAAGATGGTGAAATATTTACTGACTGAGTGTTTTAGTTTGGTAAAGTAAAATTGATGTCTATGTAATGCTGCCCTTTAGGTTGTTTCAATTACAATGTGAGCATTATATAAATTTAAATTGCCTTCTTATAAATTGTAGCTGTCATTGGTTATCTGAGTTTTATTGTGTAAATGTAATTATAGTAAATGAGCATGGCCTTTAGATGCACTTAATCCCTAGGGATATTTTGGGAAAGGTTGTAGTGTCTTTATAATCAAGACAGCCATTTAGCAAATATATTAGAAGTCAAATGACTTAAAATGTAAAACCTGTGTACTAAAATCTCTGTAATACAGAATTATCTCAAGTTATCCTGTTCTACACTGACTGAAAGCCTCTATGGACATTGCTGTTGCTGATCTTACAAGACGTTAAGAGGCCAGAATTGTTGCCTATGTTATCATTTGGTATCTGTGGCATAGAGGACAAAATGGAGTTTCTGGACCTTTCTTATTTTATGAATTTATCTAATGACATGTGCTGTGAGTGGCATTTCAGAATCATCTTTTACAGTAAAAGGTGTGAGGGGGGGAATTGTACTGATGCATCTTAAAGCAGAATGCTAGTGTGCTTGGCTAAAAAATAGATGTGTTTATTGCCTTGAGATTTTGAAGTTCCTACTGTAACTACTCAATATATTAGCAACAAATTATGAATGTGGCACTTCATAGTTTGCAAATTGTTATGACCCACTTATTTTATGTAACCCCTATGATAGTCTAAGCAGACAGGGCAGTTATCTACATTTCATGGATAAGAAAACTGAGGTCCCAACAACACACTAAGTTCTGGACCTAGAACTAGAATGCACAGGCTCCTCAGCACTACACTTGATGTCTCCTAAACCATAATTCATTTAAATTATCTACTGGCTTTGAAGAAAGAGGAGGAAATGTAATAAGAAGTCTGAAGAATTCGGGTCTAGTAGAAAAGAAAGGCAGTGACTCAGAACCCATAATCACTGAAGTAGTAAGCCCTGCTGACTTAGGACCTAGCCTCACAGCAGGTGTTAGAAGGACCTTCTTAAGCTCATAGCTAACATATTAACTCTATCTTATTCGAAGCTTGAGTAAACCTGGGTTCCGCCTTTGGTGAATTTATGGGTGGCCATGGAGGTAATTTTCATTAATTAATACTTAATTTTAATGTGTTGAGTGTTAGTACTTTCGTTTCAACATTTATTACAGGCTTTTTTCCTGAAGGGCACCAGGGATATAAAGATGAATGAGATAAGAGCCCCTCCTTTGGAGGAGCTGTTTAAATGTGAAGTAAAAGCTATAATTATAGTTTACTTCTGCATAAATTCCCTTCTCTGTAGGGTAAAATAGGCCTTGAAATCTTTCTAAGCCTTCTCACCTTCAACCTATAATTCTGTAATAAGCAAGAAGTTACCAGATTAAAATGTACCCATTATTCTAGAAAAATGTCTGAAGCAGGTTTTGGAACTTAGTATTTCATCCTTAATGTGAAAAGCTGTATAAGCGTGTAGTGTGCACAACTTCCATTTTCCAGGTTTGAGAGGCTGCCAGGGGTTTGTAGTATGGAAAGAGTGAGGTGACTCATGATTTGGGAATGATTGTTTTGATCTCTCCCTGTAGTCTCTGTAGAACATTGGCAGGGTGGCCAGCATAATTAACACTGCACAGTCTAATTATAAACACAACTCTGTGGACAGTGGCTACCAAAGAAGAAAGCCTGTCCTGGATAAACAGTCCAGTTGGCAGGATTACTTTAGAATGATGACTAGATAATGTCAAGTTTACTATAAATCAAATTGCTTTTCCTAGATTGTCTCAGGAGTTACCATAAGGGAAAAAAGTATTATCTGTGAAAGTCTCGCTGGGTTATTTTTTTTTAAGGGCTCATTTTAAGCATTTCTTTATTGCAGTCCTTCTAACCTTTTCATCATAAGAGAACAGCTAGGCATTGTCATTTTTATGGTGCACTATTTTAGGGAGAGTAGGGGATTGGGTCACAGGAGGACATTTGTTCTAGTAATAGTTGAATTGATTTTTAAAAAGTGAAAGGAACTAGGGATTTAAAAAGATTACACTGAAGTAGGGTAATAAAGAGTAGGAAAAGAGAGACCCATGAGCTGAGGCAAGTGAAGAGGGTGGGCTAAGAGTAGAAACCTGAAACGGCCACAACAGCCACGCGTGTTCCACGTGTATGGTCTCATGTACTGGTCAGAGACACAGCAGGCCCTGTGCGTGGTTGTATGTGCTTAGGGATTTGTTGAAGCGTGGCTGAGAGCTGAGGAATGATTTAGTTAGTTTAAATATAGGTTTGGCAATTGAGTCCCCGAGATTCAGAACAAAGGTCCTGGCTATGGAGATTGGTTTCATGAAACTGTAACCTCAACTATGGCAGGATGGTTGTATTTCTGCAGAATGAACCTCAGAGTCGTGATTTACTCTAAATAAAGTAAGCACTTGAAAGCAAATGGTTAAAAATGAGACACCCTTCCCCGTTTTTTTTCTTTTTCTTTTTTCTTATTGAGTTAGTTTCAGTTAAATTTCAAATGGACACTTGAAAAGAGATTTTTCTTGTAGACTTTGTGTTGCGAGTTCACTTTTGGAAACTAGTGCATGTGGTGTCAAAAAAGGTGGAAACTTTGCAGCCTTTTCCTGCCCTTGAATTTGAATTTGAATTTGCATTTGAATATTGTTTGTGTAGGAGCTGCATAAAGTAAGAGTTTATCCTTTTACATTAATTTGTCTACACATGTGATCTTAAGTCTGCCTTTAAATGTATAGTTTCTCTTAAACAGTTTAGAAGAGGACTGATTTCTCGTTTTAAGAAAAAATTTACCAAAATCTAAATACACAAATAGATGAGTTAAACACAGTTTTGTTTTTTGTTTTTCTGCAGAAGAATACTTTTTACTTTGAAGAGATTATAAGGGGTTTTCTTTCTTTCTTTATTTTTTTTTAATGTTTTTTTTATTTATTTATTTCTAGGAGAGAGAGAGAGAGACAGCGTGAACAGGGGAGGGTCAGAGAGAGAGGGAGTCACAGACTGAAACAGGCCCCAGGCTCTGAGCTGGCAGTCAGCACAGAGCTCGACGCGGGGCTCGAACCCACGAACCGTGAGATCATGACCTAAGCGAAAGTCGGACGCGTAACCGACTAAGCCACCCAGGCGCCCCGGGGTTTTCTTTAAATAATAGCTCTCCAGGGGCTCCTGAGTGGCTCAGTTGGTTGAGTGTCTGACTTGGGCTCAGATCATGATCTCATGGTTGGTGGGTTTGAGCCCCACATCAGGCTCTGTGCTGACAGTTCAGAGCCTGGCACCTGCTTGGGATTCTGTGTCTCCCTCTCTCTCTCTGCCCCTCCCCTGCTTGCGCTCTATCTGTCTCTCTCAAAATAAATAAACATTTTTTAAAAATTTAAAAAAAATAGCTCTTCAATTCCTTTTAAATACTTGGATTTACAAAAAAGTACATCTAGCTTTTTATTTTAAAGAGGAGGGGGAGAACATATGGATTTTTCTAAATTTGGGTATAGCTAGCATTATCACTGCCTAATGATTTTGTTTACCAGATACTCTTGGAGGAGGGACAGATATAAGATGGTGGGGATTCTGAAAGGGGATCTCTGTCTGTACTCCAGGACCCAATTCTGATTTGTCTGTTACATGAACCTAACCAGACTTCTGAGAAGTGAAAAATGGGTCTTGGGGATCCACAGGACCTGATACAATGTTGATTTTAAGACCACTTTCCAGGAGAATATGATTAAGAACCATTAATACTATTTTCCTGCCCTCCAGCATTTTTTGCTTTATTAGTTTTCTTTTGTTTCTGTTTTCTACTTTATTGGTTTCTGCTTTCTTCTTCATTAATTTTTCTTCTTAGGTTTGCTGTTCTATTCTTTTTAGTTTCTTAGGGCAAAAACTAATATCATTGATTTTAAACCTCTAATATAGGCACGTAAAGCAGTCAATTTCTCTCATTAAAAATGTTATTTATTTTAAATATTTTCTAAATTCTTTATTCATTGATTTATGAATTATTTAGATTTTATGTTTTCCAAATAACTAGAGATTGTCTAGATAATTTTTTATTTGGGGATTTTCACATTATTTCTACTGTAGTCAGAGAACATAGTCTCAAAAACACTCAGTCTTTTAAAGCTTATTGAGATTTATTTTATGGCTCAGAGTATGGTCCACTTTGGTAAATGTTACATATGTATTCAGCAGCTGCTTGGTGTAATATTCTACAAATGTCTTTTAGGCCAAATTAGTTGATAGTATTGTTTATATAGTCTGTGGCCCTACTTGTTTGCTTTCTACCTGTTCTGTCAATTATGAAGAGAGAGACAACAGAATCTCCAATTTTGGTTGTGGATATTTCTGTTTCTTGATTTTACCATTTTCTGTTTTGAATTTTGAACCTTTCTTATTAGGTTTATACATATTTAAGCTTGATGAATTTCTCCTTTTATCATTATAAAATTTTATTCTGCTTTGTTAACCTATTAGCGTCCTTAAATTTAAAAAGTATCTCTTATAGACTGTGTAGTGAAGTCTTGTCTTTTTAAAATCCAATGTGACAGTCTCTGTCCTTTAGTTGGAATGTGTAATTCAGTTACAGTTAATGAAATTATTTATGTGGTTGTATTTAAATCTACCATGATTTTGCCATTGTTTTTATTTGTCCCTTTTGTTTTTGTTTCTTTTTTAATGCCCCCTTTTGGGTTAATTGGGTATTTTTTAATATTTTATTTTACTTTCTTCATTGGCTTTTTGGCTATACATCTTTTAAATTACTTTTTAATTGATTATTCTAGGGCTAATAATATGCATCCTTAACTTTAAGTGTGTTTATTGTCAAAATTATGCCATTTAGCATTTTACACCTGACCATTCTCTCTTCTTACTTTATACTTCCTACTTTACACTGGACACTTAGCATTTTCCCTTCTCAATTCAGAAATATAATTTAATACAATTTCTCTTATTCACCTCCTCTCTTTGTGCTCTTGTTGTCATATTAAAAACTGCCCACATGTTCTTGCTTTAAGCAGATAGTTTTAATATATAATCTTTAAGCAAATTTTAAGAAGAATAAAGGTTATAAATTTTTGTTTTTAACAACTTACTCATCATTTCTTCCTGCAGATATGAGTTTCTGTCTGGTATCATTTCCCTCCAAGCTTTATTTTATTGTGTAGTTCACATCTGCTTGAGATTAATTCTATCAGCTTTTATTTATTGAAAGATCTTATTTTTGAGGGATATTTTCACTGGATATAGAATTCTGAATTGGTCACTTTTTTTTCTTTCAGCCCCTTAAAAACATTTTCACATCTTCTGGCCCCCAGTGTTATGGTGAAAAGTTAGTATTCTATGTATTAGTTTTCTCTTGTATATAACATATTGTTTTTAGGCTTCTTTGAAGATTTTATCTCTGGGTTTCAGCATTTTGACCATGATGTAGCTAGATATGATTTTCTTTGTATTTATTGTCTTTGGAATATGATGAGCTTTTCTGATCTGGCAAATAGTGTTTTTACCAAACTTAATAAAATTTTAACAATTATGTCTTCAAATATTTTTTCTGCTTTATTTTCAGAGTCTTCTGGGGCTCTTATTACATATGTGTTAGACTATCTGATATTGCACCACAAATTTCTGTTGCTGTGTTCATTTTTCTTCAGTCTTTTTTTCCTTTATCAAATAGGTAATTCCTAGTAATCTATCAAGTTCATAAATTCTTTCTTCTGCAATCTCCAATCTACTATTAAGTCCGTTCAGTGAGTTTTTCATTTTAATTTTTGAAACTTCCAGTCCTAGAATTTCCTTTTTTCCCCCATTGATTCTTTTTTGCAGTTTTAGTTTCCCTGCTGAGATTCTCATCTATTCATATATTCTCCTTTGTTATTGTTGTTTAAGAACATTTTCCCTTATTTAAGACATTTTTCAAACCGCAGTTCTTACTAAATGCAGTATTTGGGCCAACTTAAAGTCAGTCTCTAATGACTTATTTTTTCTTATGGGTCACATTTTTTGTTTTTTTTTTGAATGCCTAGTAATGTTTTTATTATGTATTGGACAGGGTTGATACATTGTAGAGATGCTAAATTTTTTTTTTATTTTTATTTTTTGTAGTGTTGTTTGTTTTAGTAGGCAGTTTAGTTACTGGCTGATCACTTTATATAGATTTGCTAGGGAAGTTCTGTGGAAAGCTCCAGTTTTTTCCTCAGGCCTCTCCAACTTAGCATAACTCTTCCCCCAGATTGTTTTTTCCCTATGGGTTTTATTAGGGCTTTAGGGCTTGGGTTTAGGTGTGGGTCTAGAGTTTGTCTTATTCTATGATGTTCTTTTTCCCTTAAAGTGAAGCCTTTCTGGCATTTAAAATTGATGTGCAGAATGTTAATGAGTTCTCTTTATTCAGGTTGGTTTAAACTGGCAATATTTCCCTATGCTTCTTGACCTCTAGTATTTCTATTCCATATCAACCTCATTACAGCCACTCTTTGGAAGCCTTATGTAGTTACACTCAGCATTGGTTAAGGACTCTCAGGGAACCCCTGTGCAAACTTCTGTGGTCCTCACTCTGTGCATTTCCATCCTGCCCAATGTCCTGTCTCTGCCACTAGCCCTGCTCTGCTTGGACTCCAGCTCACTATACTACAGTTAGAAAATTGTCCCAAGGCAGAGAACCAAGCAAATTTAGACTCACAGTATTGCTCATTTATCCAGTAGCTAAAAATAGTTTCATTATTTTGTCCAGTTTAATAGCTGTTTATGAGAGAAAGAAAAGTCTGGTATCAGTTACTGTGTCATATTGGAAGTGGAAGTCTCCCACAGCATTTTTGTATGTATTGAAATGAACTTTGGAGATAGCTTGAAAGGAAAAATTAAATATAGTGTCTCTTAGAACTAAATAAAGTGAGCTTATGTTGCTTATGAACTGACCATTTCTCTGTGATCTTGCTCCCTCCCACCCCTTGTCTCCCATTCATTGCCGTCTTCTCTGTTCACCAGAGACACAAAGAGGGAGAGGGGAACCAGAAGAAAGACCCTACTTGGATCATGCATCCTAGGTTGTGACCTTGGGCCTATCAAATGGAAAATTATATGTGATTTTGAAGCAGCGCTATGTAAAAGGAATGCATGCAGTACTTTCTGTGTTAATATTTTATGACACTACTCATACATTGAAGTGTAAGCAAACAAGATGTATCAGGAAGGGGCTACTGAGAACATCTTTAAAATTTCCCCCCCTTAGTGACTATTCTTCAGATTCTGGTGAGAAAATGATATATCCAAACTTGTAACTTAACATGAGCATTGTGATTAATAGGAAGAGATTGTCTTTGAGTGTGTCTGTGGCAGGGGGCAGGGAGATTAGGTAGTGTTTATTAATGTTTGTCAGATTAGATCTGTACAGAAAATCACTGTCCTTGTTCTGAATTCTAGTTGTTTTCTTTCCTTTTTAGGATTAAACTTTAAAAAAAAATAAAATTTCATTTTGATGGGAGAAGATTGTTTATTGGGGAAATAATTTTTATTTTTTAATTTGATAATCAAATTTTTATTTGATAATTAACTGTCACTTTAGAAATTTAATGAAGTTTCCATTTGGAAATAATCTAGAAAATATAAATGCTGTTTCATGCTTGGAGCTTTCAGCTCTGTTTAAGTATGTCTGAGAGGCCTCAGAAGAAGCATAATTCTTTATTGTTAAGGCCCAATTTGAATATAGCAAGCTGCTGTATTACCTAATTGAATATAGCAATCTTGCATCTTCCCAAAAAGCCTTATTGAAATTAGGCTTATTCTTTTAAATTTGTTTTGGCTTGTTGATTTCAAAATAGACCCCATTTCATTTCATTTTGTGATGGTAGTTTAAAGGGATTAAAGTTTGTGGGAAGTTTTCTTGTTTTAAGTCAAGTTGCTCATCATGTTGTTTGCCATCGCTTTACTTTTTCTGGTGTTTTCTAAATTGAACCCCTCAGTTAATCACTTTTTCTCTTGCCAGCACTTTCAGTGCTTTTTCTCTGTAGTTTCTTACCACATCCTCACTAAATACTTAACCCTGGATTAACCCAGCTGCTTTCTCTACTCTTTAAAAATATCTTTCCATTTATATTTTTCATTTTAAATTATGGTAAAATACACATACATGCTTTTTTTTTTTTTTTTTGACTTGGCCTGGTAAGTACTGCTAAAGGCATTTATGGAAACTGGTAGTATGACAATTCTACTACGCTTACTGAACTTCTTAGCCATACCTTGTCCTTGGGCCATCTTTCCCTGGTCCTCTGCCTTAGCTTTTATACTTTATTTTTCTCCTTAAGCCACCGGTCCTTCCCCACAACTGCCTTCAGGCAGATGGCCTTAATTCCTCTGTCACAGAGAACATGGAGGCACTTTCCTGTTCACCTCCTCAGTTTTCCATGCTCGTATACATGCTTCTTCTCTGTCTTCATCTCCCATCTCCCAGGTTCAGAGGAGAAGTACCTAATTCCCACCCAGGTTCATCTCTCTGCTGGAGTTTTTGTGATATCTTCCCACCCCTGTGGGATGTTATTCCAACATTTCCTCTCATCTACTCCTCCACTTGCACATCTTGTCATTTTACTTTTCCTTCATGCTTCATTACTCCCATCTTAACCACGGATAAACAAAAAAACAGAAGAACTTTTCTCTGCCATATTATATTTTAGTTTGATCCTATGTTTTGTTTTGTTTTGTTTTCCTTGATACACAACTAAGTACCTTGAAAGAATAGTCTGCAGCCCTTGCCTTCTCATATGGATTTTTTTTTAATTTTTGAAAGCTTTTATATTTTTATTTATTTTTGAGAGACAAAGAGAGACAGAGCACAAGTGGGGGAGAGACAGAGAGAAGGAGACACAGAATCCAAAGCAGGTTCCAGGCTCTGAGTTATCAGCACAGAGCCTGATGTGGGGCTTGAACTCATGAACCATTGAGATAATGACCTGATCCAAAGTTGGACACTTAAATGACTGAGCCAGTAAAGTGCCCTGATCAACTCATATGGATTTTCCATTCTTTGGGCTGTTAGGCTCCATTTCTGCTATTCTGTTGAAGGTGGTTTATGAACGTCGCTGGTTCCCTAGTTGCCAAATCTCTTAACCTCTCTAGGCCTCATTTTACTTGACCTTTATAAGACAGGTAATGCTGACCACTTCCTTCATGAAAACTTCCTTTATCTTCTAGGATGCTACTGTCCTAATTTTCCTACCTCTTGTACATTCTTCTTACTCTCTTCTTCTGCCCCTCTTCCTCTGCCACCTCTTCAGTGCTGATGCTCTCTGACTCTTACCTCCCTCTAAGTAGTCTCACTCATCTGCATGATTTTCATGATGTATATGGAGATGATTCTGAAATCTAAATCTTCCCCACAGATCCCTATTTTGAGTCCAGATCCATATAACATAGTTCTCATAACAGTCCTAGAAAATAGTAATGTTTTTTCACATTTATGGGCGAGGAAGTTGAAGCTAAAGGATATTTGGTAACCCATTTGAGACAAAGCAGTCAGTGGAACAGGCAGGATTTGAAGTACTTTCTAAAATTGGGTCTTTATAACATGCCATTAATCAAACATCTCTACCCGGCTATCTCACAGTAATGTTAAATATGTCGTATCCCACACCAAATGCCATCCTATAACTCTAGTCTCACTATACAACCTTCCCCCGACCAAAAAAAAAAAAAAAAAAAAAAATCGAGAGAGGGAATTTGAAAACCTTTATTTTCAATCTCTATGAATGGCATTCTTTCTTCTAGTTATCCAAGCCAGAATGTATATTGGGAAGCGACATAGACTTTCTCCTATCACTCCATCTTACAGACCTGTCCGGCCCAATGAAGCATCAGTTCCTTGGCATTCTCCCTTTTTAACACGACTTGTAATCATTACCTCCTTGTCACTTCTACTGCTGACATAGTTGAGAATTTCCTATTGACCTGGATTGGCATTATAATGACATTGCTTTGCATTGTCAACCCAATTGCAACTCATTGCTTCCCAAGTTTTCTGAGCTGAAGAATCAAGGTTTTTTCGTTTTCAGTTTTTAATCTGTTGCATAAATTGTGTAGCATTTAAAAAATGAATCATTGGGAAACAAATGAAAAAAGACATGCAAACTATAAGTTTCATTTTTAAAGGATTAAATTTGGTAGACACAAAATTATTGACAAATTGCTGTAAAACTTTTTAAATATTAGTTGTCCACATGTATCCTGTCACAGGGAGATAGCAGACAGTTTGTGGATTGACACTGATCCACCAACAACATTGAAGAGCACCAGTTCATGGTATCTAATAAAAAGAAATGTATTCAATGTATTCAGTTTTCTTAGATTATTCCCACATGGCCTATGTTATTTAAAACCGCCTGGGTGGCTTAGTCAGTTAAGCGTCCGACTTTTGCTTAGGTCATGATCTCGCGGTTCGTGGGTTCGAGCCCCTTGTCTGGCTCTGTGCTGACTGCCAGCTCTGAGCCTGGAGCCTGTTTCAGTCTGTGACTTCCTCTCTCTCTGACCCTCCCCTGCTCACGCTGTCTCTCTCTCTCTCTCCTAGAAATAAATAAAACATTAAAAAAATAATAATAAAAAAAACTGAAAAATTTCTTTGCTTTTGGCTTAAAGATAGCATGTATATGCGGATTTAAGAGGTTGTAGAAAATTTCCTGTTTCTATAGGATCGCTTCTTCCTATACAAATAAATCCCATTAGAGCAATGGGTAATCATGTTACATTGTATATAATTTAAGGCTAAGATCTTTTCTTTTGCAAGAATCCAAAGCAACATTTTCTTAAATAGACTTGAAGTACAGTCTTCATGGGTTACGTATTAACAAGAGTGATTTCCTCTGGTTTGGTATATTTAACATGGTACTGTACACATATGCAAAAGTCTGCCTCTAATGTGCAGTAAATTATAGCAAAGGAGTTGATGTATTCCATTTCTAAAAGATTAAAATTCTACACAGGCATTAATCTGAATGGGTAATAAATAATAAAAACAAGTTATTTGGATTTTGGCAGATGTCTGACTAAATCCTTATCAAAATATTTGAAGTAAATGAATTGCAGATAAGAGATGCTAAAATGGTTAGACAGAATGCCCCTTGCTTTAAACAAAACTTTACTGAAGAATCAAAACACATGGGAATATGAATTGAGGAATGGGTGTGTTCTAAATATTACTGAGATTATACTTAGAATTAGTTTAGAAATTCATTACACAAAAGCATACTGTGCAGATCTCAGTGTTGTCTATGTCATGTCTGACACAGAACAGAACACATAGGCAAATGCTAAGAGAACCTTATTTTCCCATATGATATTACAAAAAAAGTCTGAAAAAGCCTTTTAGACATTTTGGAAAAGCAAATTAAGCAACTAATCTTCAGCACTGTGCTAGGACTAAAAACTACCACAGAAAATTTCTAACCATTAAGAGTTCATTAAAAGTTAAAAAAAATTCAAGTTCAATTATACCAGTATTTGCTCTGTTAATGAAATAGATGACACCCAAACACAATTAACCATCAAAACAAAACAAAACTTCGTCATGAGAAGTAGGGGCACTATCTGATGTTTAAGAGATTAAATTCCTAAAGCAGTATGTTATTCTAGGTCATTCACAGCAGATGGAAAGATGGCAGGTTGCTAACTAAACCCACACCTAGAAAGTAATCAAAAGTTTTGTTCAAAGAAAACTTTTTTTAAAGTTTTCTTTTTGAGATAGAGAGCATGTGAACATGAGCATGAATGCCGGAGGGGCAGAGGAAGAAAAAGAGGAGAGAGGAGAGAGGAGAGAGGAGAGAGAGAGAGGAGAGAGAGAGAGAGAGAGAGAGAGAGAGAGAGAGAGAGAGAGAGAATCCTAAGCAGATCCACACTGTTAGCACACAGCTGGACATGGGGCTCAACGTCAGGAACTGTGAGCCAAAATTAAGAGTTGTACGCTTAACCAACTGACCCACCCGGGTGCCCCAGGAAATTAGTGTTTAGTCTCAGCTGCCTTTTTTTGTTACTAGCCTGCTTATTTAAATTTCTTGTTTCATGACTGTGGTATACTTTTATTTAAGCTTAAGTTTTTAATGGATAATACAAGAAAATTAGAAGCATCTTATTTAATTTAGCAGCTCCATGATGAAAATAAGTGTTAGTGGTAAAAGTATTCTTAGATTAAATGTGGTTTTGCTAGTAGGCATTTTATTATGAAATTTTTTTTTTCTAACTCTGTGCCTTGTCCTTGTGTTTTGGTTATTTAGATCTGCTTCAGCTCCCCAGGAATATGATTGAAAACAGCATGTTTGAGGAAGAACCAGATGTGGTAGATTTAGCCAAAGAACCCTGTTTACATCCTCTAGAGCCTGATGAGGTAGAATATGAGCCCCGGGGTTCAAGACTGTTGGTGCGGGGTCTTGGTGAGCATGAGATGGATGAAGACGAAGAGGATTATGAGTCATCTGCAAAACTGCTGGGCATGTCCTTCATGAACAGAAGCTCAGGCCTTCGGAACAGTGCAACCGGCTACAGGCCGAGCCCAGATGGGACTTGTTCGGTACCCTCTGCAAGGACCATGGCGATCTGTGTTTTTCTTATTGTGGTTGCCGTTTCTATAATCATGGTGATTTATTTACTACCCCGATGTACCTTTACCAAAGAAGGCTGCCATAAAAAAAACCAATCAATAGGACTAATTCAGCCAGTTGCAACAAATGGAAAGTTGTTTCCGTGGGCACAAGTCAGGCTTCCCACCGCCATTATGCCACTACGTTATGAACTTAACCTACACCCAAACCTAACCTCGATGACATTCAGGGGTTCTGTGACAATTTCACTTCAGGCTCTTCAGGCCACATGGAATATCGTTCTTCACAGTACAGGCCATAATATTTCAAGAATGACCTTTATGTCAGCAGTTTCAAGCCAAGAAAAACAAGTTGAGGTCTTAGAATACCCATTTCATGAACAAATTGCAATTGTTGCCCCTGAAGCTCTTCTTGAAGGACACAATTACACCTTGAAGATAGAGTATTCAGCGAATATATCTACTTCTTACTATGGGTTCTATGGAATCTCCTACACAGATGAAAGTAATGAGAAAAAGTACGTAGCCCTCTTAAATGGTTCTACTTCTTTGCTTTATGAAGACTTATGTAATGTGGATTCCTTTGTCCATACCAGATACATTAACTGGAATTTTTTTAATTTAAGAGGTTGTGTGCAAAATAGCAGAATGGTGATTTGGAAGCATATACTATTTCTTTTTCAGTCAAAGCCTTGAGCACCTATCATGCTTGTATATGTCATGGTGGGAGTGAGGCATGCTGATGGAGGGAAATTGATAAAGATTTATATCAGTTACATTCTCGATCACCACATCTTAAGTTATTTTGAGCTTTTCATATCTTAGATGAATCTAGCTTTCAGTCACCTTACAAGATCTCAATGGGAAGCAAAGAAGAGGAGTATGAATTATTCTTTACGACCTGTTTTCCTAATGTGCAGAACTTTTAGGAGGTGCTTAGTGAGATGGAGAAGAGAGCAGGGAAAACAGTTGTATGCTTACACCTATCATTTTTAGTGTACTTAATATTTTCTGTTTGTTAAAAAAAAAAGTCTATTTTGGATTTCTGATGGAATTTAAAAAAATCTAGGACAGACTTAATTTAGTTTTAAAAAAGTGACTCAAAACAAAAGTATTCTCCCAATTTATGTATTTTACACTTTAGTCTTAAGATTCGTAGAATGTGATTAAAATTTCTGGAGAGATACAGTGCACGTTGTATACAGGTTATTCTTAAGTAGCAATAATATCATTTCTCTTATGTACACAAAGTTCTTAATAGATCTGTTTAATTTCGTTGGTGCATTCCTTCATATTACTTTGTATACCAGTTTGTGAATTGCTGATGTTGACCATTTGGCAAATGTATTGAGAAAAATAGAAATGAATATTTTAAATCTATATTAAGGAACTTGTTTGATCCTTCTTAAATGGAGAAAGCAATACAATATCTGTAGACCTATTCAGATAAGTAATTTTTCTCTTTGCCTTTACTTAAAAAATGGCATGCTGGCTCTTGCATGAGATCTGATGTTTAAAGCAAATTTATAATTATAATGGTAGCCTATGACTTCTTAGCTTTACTTCTCCCTTTATAATCTTCATCATCTCTAAGAATTAGAGGATATAAATAAAAACAGTGCAAGCACACCTTTAAGACAAATCCAGTAGTCACCTCTTTCAATCAGATTATTAATCTTGGAGTCCCTTGGGCTTACTACTCCTATATAATGGAAGGAATAAATGTATGGCGGAGAAAGCTGATTTTGAGTATGGTCAGCTGTTGACTCTTGCCATGGGCTAGATTGAATTGTGGAAAATGCTATAAAAAGAGAGAAGATAATTCCTTAAAAATAAGAAGTAGAATGTCTTTAACGAGTGTTTTTAAAATGTTTATTTATTTTTGAGACAGAGGAGACAGAGAGAGAAAGTGTGAACTGGGGAGGGACAGAGAGAAAGGGAGAGAGAATCCCAAGCATGTCCCACACTAACAGTATAGAGCCCAAAACAGGGCTCCATCTCACAAACCATGAGATCATGACCTGAGCCAAAATCAAGAGTTGGACGCTTAACTGACTGAGCCACCCGGGTGCCCCAATAGGTGTTATTAAATCTATTAAAATAAATTAGTGTATGAAACTCTGCTGTTACAGAAAGTATAAATCTGTTAATCTGACTGCTTCAGTAAAATGAGTGCCCCACATGGTTGTATACCTTGATGGAAGATAAATTTGAGAAGATTATTTATGCCTCTCAAGGTGTCTGAAACTATAATGCAAAGCAATTTTTTTGTCTTTTTCCAAATTTTGCATAGTTTTGCTTAGTTCTATTAGATAAATCTTTTTGTAACCTTCTTCCACCACCTATAATAAAAATAATTATTTAAATAAGTAGAAAGAAGAATTAAGGGATATATTCCTTATTGATGGGGAAATCAGAATATATGTAAATGTCAACCATGTATTTGTGGTAAGGGAACTTTACCTATGTCACATAAGAGGGGGAGATGGCCAGTGACCTTGGAGTTCAGTCTAGCAGTTGTTTATATTTTTAAGATTCTAGACAATAAGCTGATGCCAAAAGAACTAGTAAACAGTTTAGGATGGGGATGTGTTTTATTTCTTTGCCCTTCAGTCTCTCAGTGTCTTTTTCTCGAACACTTCAAGCATCTTCTTAACTTAATTAGCAGCTTCTAATCTTGTCGCCGCTTTCCCCTCCTCTTGCCACCATCTTCCACACTGCTGCCAAATCATATTTCTAGAGTACAGGTCGAGCCATGTTGGTCTTTGGTTTGAGAGCCTTCACGCTTCCTCTTTTCTGATGGGATTTAGTTCAAGATTCTTCCAGATCTGGCCCTCATTTTATCTCACTGCCCTCATCTGCTATAATGAGCTTTAAGTGCACTTTCCTGAGTTCCAGTGATAATAATGGCCCATAGGTACTGAGAACTCAAGTGCTAGCAACTGTTCCAAGCATTTTAGATGTTTAATCTTTTATCCTGTCAACCCATTAAGAGGTAGATATTAATATTTTATTCATTTTACAGATAACAAAGCAGAGGCACGTAAATAATATGGTTAGCAGGTAGGAGAGGGGGAACACAAACTCCAACTCATGTAAACCCCATTGTTAACCACTACGATGTACTGCCTCCCGAGTTCACACCACTTTTTCATTTACCCATTGTTATTCCCAGTGGTCAGAATTCTCTTCTCTGTCTTCAGCACTACTGGAGGTAGTACCAAACTGCAGCCAGCATTTCTGAAAGCAAAGAAAATCACTAAATGAAAGAATAAGCTTCAAGGTATTCAGCATAGATAGAATAGAGTATAAGTTTCCTCAAGCAGCAGCCTTCTCAAAGAGACTTTGATGTAAAATAGTTATTAGTGCATTTCTTTCAAAAATAACTTAAGATTCTCTTTGTCTCAGAACATTGTGATCCAGTTTTTATCCAAAGTGATTGTCTAAGTAGACTTTTTATATGAATGGTATGGATATTATTAAGCTTCATCCCCTGGTCCCTTGTGCCCCTCTTTCACAATTTTCTATTAACTAGGTAGGAATTTGGGAGTGGAGTGAAGAAATTGAATATTAGCAACATAGCCTGTTTGAATTGTTTCGTATATATTGATTGCTATCTTTCATGTAGTTTACTTAATAGAAACAGTTATTTGGGCAAATCCTTATGAGGAAAACAATATTGAGCGTGGATGAAGAGTTATGACTGTCTAGCATTTATAATAAAACATCTATGTTGGTAGTTGTGGCATACAAGCAGTTTTTATTTTGAATTGTCTTTATTTGATTCTAACAAAAACCCTAGGTGTTTGGCAGAGGATCCTACCTCAGTCCTAATTTAATAAATAAGGAGGGTGCGGGGTGGCTCAGTTGGTTAAGGTCCAACTTTGGCTGCGGTCATGATCTCATGGTCATGTGAGTTTGAGCCTTGCATCGGGCTCTGGGCTGACAGCTTAGAGCCTGGAGCCTGCTTTAGATTCTGTGTCTCCCTCTCTCTCTGCCCCTCCCTCGCTCACACTCTGTCTCTGTCTCTCAAAAATGAATAAATGTCAAAAAAAATTTTTAATAAGGAAATTGAGGTGTATGTTTTCTGAACTCATATGACTGGTAAAGTACAGGGTTTGGGTCTTACTTCAAATCCCATACTCTTTTCTGTCTGTCTTTTAAAAGTGGAAACTAACCCCTATGCGAGCTAGGCCATCTTGTCCAGGGTGGTGGTTGTATATGTGCCATATTGACTAGTACCTGAAATATGCACAACAGGGCCACACTTGCCCTGATTATTCTATGGCCATGTTTGGATGATTTCCCCAATGCAGATCTGTTTTACTCCTTTGTTTAATTGGAAATCTTATTTTCTCCTCTTTTTTTAATGCCTTTCTCCCAGTTTTTAAAGTTTATTTGTTTATTTTAAGAAAGAAAGAGAGCATGCATAAATGGAGTAGGGGCAGAGAGAGAGAGAGAGAGAGAGAGAGAGAGAGAGAATCCCAAGGAGACTCTGCACTGTCAGCACAGAATCCGATGCAGGGCTCAAACTCACAGTGAGTTTATAACCTGAACTGAAATCAAGAGTCAGACATTTAGCTGACTGAGCCACCCAGGTGCCCTCTCCCAACTTTTAATTAATTAAGAACTTTCATATGAGTTAAATTCTCAAATGTTGTTGCTGTGCTGTAGGAGAGGGAGGAAGTTTTTTAAATTCATTTCTGAAAAGCTTGAAGGAAACCAGCATACTACAGAGTAGCTAGATTTTTTAGTCTTCATGAAAGTTTAAGTAGTAAGGTTAAGGTTTAATGTGGTGAAGCCAGAGTCTGTACAGGTGATTAGTGGCAGTTAATGACCACCCGTCATACTGAGCATCCATCTGAAACCTTTTTAAGACCAGCTGCAGACTACCTTTGTGGCTTCATCTCCAGCCATCTTGGGACAGCCACCTCCTGTCCCTGAGTATCCATTGCTGTCTTTCCTTGTGCTTCCTGCTCTGTCTAGAGTATACTTTCTTCCCTTCTCTACCTTTTCAAATATTCCTTAAATTCTCTTCAAAGTTTGTCACCAGTTTCCATAGAGTATCTCAACTGCTACTCAGCATTTGTTTCCTATCCTTTATTTCCACTTCTTTGTTTTCAATATTAATGACATGATTTGAAGCCTGGCAGGGTTCTGTTCATCATATAACATATGTCTCTCCCAGTTGATTGCAGATCTTTTAATGACTGGGATTATACCATGCTTATCTTAGTATCCCTAGTATTTGACAAGATACCTTGAATAATAGGTACTCAATAACTATTGAATGGATTTGCATTTGTTTTAGGTACTTTGCAGCAACTCAGTTTGAACCCCTGGCAGCAAGATCTGCTTTTCCTTGTTTTGATGAACCAGGATTTAAAGCCACATTTATCATCAGAATCATAAGGGATGAGCAATATACTGCTTTATCAAATATGCCTAAGGTACTGTTCTGTTCCTTAATATAAAATCTTTGAGTGGGTCTCTTTCTTTGTTCTGAATACTTGAATTCTTCTTTGCGATACTGTTGAAAATGAGTAAAATCATGTATATTCTTATTCTTTCTTAAAATGGCTAAATAGAAATTAAAATATATGTTGGAATAATTGAGAAGTCAGCTCAAGGAGCACTTGAATAAAGAGGAAGACCTGCTGGGTATGAAATTTGTGGGCAGGAAATATGAAGTATGTACTATAAAAGGTGTGCAAATATTAATACATATGAACTAATACGAAAGATCACAGTGGTATTTTCTGAGATTTGGTGAATTTGCTGTTTGAAACAGTGATGCATGATGATGTTGAATCATGATTGACATTGGTGTTTTATTGGTTATTGAAAAATCATTATTATAACATCGAGGCTTAGCAAGAACATGAACCTCTTTATTGGATGTAAATTCTGTGTGGGAGGCAATGGAGATGAAACCAAGCAGAATACTAGACAGAACTTAGGGTTTTTTTTCCTCTGACACCTGAGTGGCCCTGTGGAACCTGATGAAAGCCTCTTAGAACCCATATGGCTAGGGGAGAGGAGTAGCCATGTCTAATAGACTGTGGAGTCAACCTTTGTAGGCAGGTGAGGATGTGATCTGTCCTTCAACAGGGACTTCAACAGCCCCATTCCTAGCCCAACTCTTCACTTTAATCTTCCTCTAAAAGTGGTGAGATGCCTACTTGAGTAGGCATCTTTGAGTGTCCCCAAACCTCTTAATTCATGGTCAGAAAATCTTGAAAGGCTGTTGTAATCTTGTGTCTACTACATACTTCGTAGTGACTTAATCACTTTTGATCTCACTAAGCTTTCTTGGGATCATCAACATGGTACTTTAAAAAGCTGTTTCACATCTTTCAGAAGGATATCCCAACTGTAACTCCTTCTTCTGTGTTTGTAGCAGTAGAGTGGAACGCTCCTATGTCATAAGGAAGGATTTGGGCTTTGGTGATATTTTAAAAGGAAGAAACAGAACCCTGTTATTTACTTTCTTTAAGTTACATTTATTTAAAACCATCTTTTGAAACTAAAAATTCCTTAAGGGTTTTCACTGTATTTTCTTTTCTTTTTTTCCCCCTTTTTTATTTTAGAGAGAGAGAAAAAGAGAAAGAATGAGAGAGAGAGGGAGAGAGAGAGAGAGGGAGGGAGAGAGAGGGAGAGAGAGAGAGAGGGAGAGAGAGAGAGAGAGAGAGGGAGAGAGAGGGAGAGAGAGAGAGAGAGAGGGAGAGAATCTTAAGTAGGTTCTACGCTCAGTGCCAAGCCCAACACAAGGCTCTATCCCACGACCCTAAGACCTTGACCTGAGTTGAGATCAAGAGTCAGATGCTCAACCAGCTGAGCCACCCTGGTGCCCCAACTCAGCATATTTTCATGATAAGCAATGATAGGACAGAATGAGAGTAAGGGCCATGCTCTGTTTAGAGTAAGAATCATGTTCTCTTATGCTGAGAAATTACAATATGGCAACATCTTCACTACTTGTTTCATATTTGAATTTTTAATTTCTTAGTTTATTATGGTCATTTATTACCATATTTATAGAACTTTTATCTTTTCCTTTTTGCTTATAGAATTCATCAGTCATTATGGAAGATGGACTTGTTCAGGATGAGTTTTCTGAGAGTGTGAAAATGAGCACTTACCTGGTTGCATTCATTGTTGGGGAGCTGAAGAACCTGAGTCAGGACGTAAATGGAACCCTGGTATGTTGTTTTATGGTAATTGTTTCGAAAGCCTGTTAAATGAGAAGTTAAAAGGAATTCTTTAATGATTTCTGGTAATGGAAAACAAGCTTTTGGATCACAACTTTGACATTTTATGCCAGAAATGTTACTTTTTGCTTAGTTATATTTACTTTTATGAATTGAATACCCAAAAGTCAATAATATTCAAGTTTTTAAAAAGTATATTTCTATAAGAGAATTCCAGTAAGACAATATATGTATAACAAAGCTTCTATTACTGTGCTTACAACATGGTGGTTACTGGCCTTATGTGGTTTCTAACATTTAAGTTAATTAAAATTAGAAGACAGCATCATGGCTGAATAAGGTGTCCCTCATTCATGTCCTCCCACTCCAGCAACAATAATTTGACATCCATCCATGGACAAAAATGCCTTTGTGGAAGCTCTGGGACCTAGCACTAAATGCCAAATGACCTGGGAGGCATCTTGTACACCTATGCATGAGGTACTGGGCATACAGACCTTGGTCCTAGCTGTTGACCCTCTAGTATACTGTGAAACAGCTCTATCCCTCTTGGCTATGGTTTGGGAGCACCTGAAAATACTGTCTTAGACAGTAACACTTGGAGAAAATAGCCTTTTTGGAAGTCTACATTTCTAGCCAAAAAGTTCAGCACTCTGTTGGAGAAAAAAAAGAAATACAAGTTTGGATGCATCAATGAGGGCAGTTAGGTAAGACTGAAGGAGGTGACTGCTATGTCAGATATGAAGACATTAATACAGTACTTCCAAGAACATGAAAAACCAAGAAAATATGACAACACCAAAGGATCACAGTAATCTTCCAGTAACCAATCTCAAAGACATGGAGATCTGTGATTTACCTATTAAAGAACTCAAATAGCTGTTTTAAGGAAACTTAATGAACTACAAGAAAACACAAAAAGACGATTCAGGGGAATCAAGAATCAATACATGAACAAAATGAGAAGTTTAATAAATATAGAGATCATAAAAAGGAATTAAGTTCAGGGGCTAAAAAATACAATGAATGGAATGAAAAAAAAAGAGGACTAGAGAACATCAACATCAGAATGGATCAAGTAGAAGAAAAAAATTTGTGAGTTAGAAGACAGGAAAGTTGATATTATCCATCCAGAGGACAAATAAAAATAGAAGAAAAGAGTGAAGAAAGCCTATGTGATTTATGGGACACCATCAAAGAAATAGTTACTATTCAAAGAAGTAATGCTGATAGCCAAAAGAGATCCCTTATAAGACATGTTACGATAAAACTGCCAAAAATAAAGAAAATTTTAAAAGCAGCAAAAGAAAAGAGACTTGTCATTTACAAGGGATAAGGCTGTCAGTGGATTTCTCAACAGAAACCTTAGCAACCAAAAGAGAGTCAGATGAATTAAACTGTTGAAAGAAACAACTGCCTGTCAAGAATACGCTTGTCTGACAAAGTTTTCCTACAGAAATGAAGGGGAGATAAAGATTTTCCCAGACAAAAGTTGAGGAAGTGCTTTACCACCAGTCCTCCCTTAAAAATGCTGAAAGGAGTACTTCCAGGTGAAAGGAAAGGATAGTGATTAGTAACATGAAAATATGTGAAAATACACAACACACTGGTAAAGGTATATATATAGCCAAATTCAGAATACTCTTAACACTGTAATATGGTGGTATATGCATCCTGTAAAATGCATAAAAAGCACTTCTAAGAGTGATGTTTAGAGCAATAAATGCCTATATTAAGAAAGAAATTTCAAATAAATAACCAGCCCTTATACCTCAAGGAAATAAAAAAAGACCAAACTAAACCCAAAGTTAGCACAAGAAAGGAATAACAAAGATGAGAGCAGAAATAAATTACAGAGAGGGACACCTGGGGAGCTCAGTCGGTGAAGCATCCAACTCTTGGTTTTGTCTCAGGCCATAAACTGAGGGTTCGTGAGTTTGAGCCCATGTTGGGATCTGCACTCACAGCACAGAGCATGCTTGGGATTCTTTCTCCCTCTCTACCCCTCCTCCATTTGCACTCTCTCTCTCTCTCTCACACACAGAAATAAACTTTAAAAATTTTTTTAAATAAACAAAAAAGTTACCAGAAAAAAAAAACAATAGAAAAGATCAGTGAAACTAGAGCTGGGTTTTGTTTTGTTTTGAAAGATAAAAATGACAGATCTTTAGCTGGACTAAGAAAAAATAAGAGTCAAAATCAAAAATGAAAGAGACATTACAGTTGATACCACAGAAATATAAAGGAATCTAAGAGCCTACTATGAATCATTATAGGTCAATAAATTGGGTAGCCTAGAAGAAATGGATAAATTCCTAGAAACATACAACCTAGCAAGAATGAATCTTGAAGATATAAAAAATCTTATCAGTATTGAGTAACGAGATTGAATCAGTAATCAAAGCCTCCCAACAAAGAAAGTCCAGGATCAGATGGTTTCTCTGGTGAATTCTACCAAATATTAAAGAAAAACTAATTCCAATCCTCAAGCTCTCTGAAAAATTGAAAAGGAGGGAATGTTGCCAGATTTGTTTTATGAGGTTCACATTCCCCTCCTGTTAAAGCCAGATAAGGACATTACCAGAAAGGAAAACTATAGGCCCATGTCCCTGATGAATATAGATTCAGTAGATGTCTCTGCATAAAAAATCTTAAACAAAATGTTAACAAGTTGAATTCAATAGCATATTAAAAAGATCATACACCATGATCAAGAGGACTTTATCACTGGGATACAAAGATGGTTCAACATATACAAATTAGTAAATGTGATACATCATATTATTAGAATGAAAGATAAATAGCACATGATCATCTCAATGGCCACAGAAAAAAACATTTGACAAAATACAACTTCTTTCCTGATAAAAACTCATAAACAGGGGCCCCTAAGTGGCTCTGTCAATTAAGTGTTTGACTACAGCTCAGGTTACGATTTTGTGAGTCATGAATTTGAGCCCTGCATTGGGCTCTATGCTGACTGACAGCTCAGAGCCTATTTAGGATTTTCTCTCTCTCTCTGCCTGCCCCCCAAAATAAATAAACATTAAAAAAACCCTAAACAAATTAGGTATAGAAGGGCATACTTCAACAAAATAAATGCTATATATGACAAGTCTACAGTTAACATCATACTCAACAGTGAAAGATTGAAAGCCTTTTCTCTTAAGATCAGGAACAAGGAAAGGGGGGCTCATTCTCACCACTATTCTTTAAAATAGTACTTGTGGGGTGCCTGGGTGGCTTATTGGTTAAGCATCCGAATTTGGCTCAGGTCATGATCTCACCATTCCTGAGTTTGAGCCCTGTGTTGGGCTCTGTGCTGATAGCTCAGAGCCTGTAGCCTGGTTTGAATTCTGTGTCTCCCTCTGTCTTTCCCTCCACCCCCACTCACACTCTGTCTCTCTCTCAAAAATAAATAAACATAAAAAAATTAAAATAGTACTTGAAATCTTAGCTTGCTCACTTAGGCAAGAAAAAAATAAAAGGCATCCAAATCAGAATGGAAGAAGTGAAATTGTCTGTTTGCAAATAATATGATGTTATGTATACAAAATCCTAAAGATTCCACCAAGAAATTATTAGAACTAATCAGTGAATTTAGTAAAGTTGCAGGATACAAAATCAGCATACAGAAGTCAGTTGCATTACTATATACTAATGATGAAATATCTGAAAAAGAAATAAAGTTATCCCATTCACGATAGCATCAAAAACAATTAAAATGCTTAGGAATAAATTTAACCAAGGAGATGAAAGACCTCTATAGTGAAAACTATAAGATTTTAATGAACGAAATTGAAGAAGACACAAATATATGGAAAAGTATCTGATGTTCATGGATCAGAAGTATTAATACTGTTAAAGTGTCCATACTACTCAAAGCCATTAGTAGATTCACTGCAATTCCTATAAAAATTTCAATGGCATTTTTCACAGAAACAGAAAAAACAATACTAAAATTTGTGTAGAACTCCAGAAGACCTTGAAGAGCTACAGCAATCTTGAGAAAGAACAAAGCTGGAAATACACATTTCCAAATTTCAAGCTGTACTACGAAGCTATAGTAATCAAAACAGTATGTATACTAATCAAGAGAGTGTGATGCTAGAAAAAAATAGACACATAGACCAAGGAACAGAATTAAGAGCCCAGGGGGGAAAATGTATGAATAGACAACTAATATTTGAAAAGGGAACCAAGAATACTTAGTGGAGAAAGGGTTATCTCCTTAATAATTGTGCTGGAAAATTGGATAATTACATGTATAAGAATGAAATTGGACCCTTAACTTATACTACTCACAAAAATTTATTAAACATACTAAAGACATTAATGTAAGGTGTGAAACGGTAAGGCTCTAAAAAGAATAGATAGGAAGAGCTCCTTGACATTAGTCTTGGTAATTATTTCTTGTATATGACACCAAAAGTACATGCAACAAAAGCAGAAATCAGTTAGTGGGACTACATCAAACAAAGAGCTTCTGCACAGAAAAAAAAAAAAAAAAGAAAGAAAGAAAGAAAAGAAAATGCAACCTAAAGAATGGGAGCAAGTGTTTGCAAATCATATATCTGCTTAGGGATTAATATCCAAAATATATATAAGGAACTCATATGGCTCATTAGCAAAAAGATGTATAGGCAGTCAGATTTAAAAATAGGCAGATGCGGGGCGCCTGGGTGGCTTAGTCGGTTAAGCGTCCGACTTTCGCTTAGGTCATGATCTCACGTTCGTGGGTTCGAGCCCCGCATCGGGCTCTGTGCTGACTGCCAGCTCAGAGCCTGGAGCCTGTTTCAGTCTGTGACTCCCTCTCTCTCTGACCCTCCCCTGCTCACGCTGTCTCTCTCTCTCTCTCTCCTAGAAATAATAAATTAAAAAAAAAAAAATTTTTTTTTTAAATAAAAAAAAATAAAAATAGGCAGATGAACTGAACAGACATTTCCCCAATGAAGACGGACAAGTGGCCAACAGGTACATGAACAGATACT